TCACAGGTGTCCAACCATTTGAATATAAGGACCTTTTTGCTTTCCCGTGGTGGCTATTATGAAAATTACACATGACCTTTTTTATTTTTTTAGCTCAGCAGCTATTGTTACTGTTACTGTTATCTTATGTGTGGCCTACGACAATTCTTCCAGTGTGGCCCAGGAAAGCCAAAAGATTGGACAGCCCTGCTAGGCCCTAAACTAAAGCAGTGAAGTGGGAGAAGCAGCCAAAGCTCACAGGGAAACCAGGAAATTTCCAGGTTGCACCTGACCATCACAGCTACCACTTGGGAGCTCTGGAGAAACCTGCAAAGCCACCGCAACTGGCTGCCATGACTTTCTGTGAATAATGGCTCTGCTTCACTGCCATCTTCCAAATCTCAATGCAAGTTTCTCTCTTGCCCAACTAAGAACTGTACAGGGAAGGGGATTCTGGGGAAATGTAGTTCCAGCTTTACACGATGCCAGGCGGGCAATAGACAGTCTAGTACACAGAACTTCACTATTATTTCTTCACCAAAACCTTTAGCAAGCCAGTTACAGTGGCTCATGCCTGTAATTCCAGCACTTTGGGAGGCCAAGGAGGGAGGATTGCTTGAGCTCAGAAGTTCAAGGCCAGCCTCGGCAATATGGTGAAAACCAATCTCCAAAAAAAAAAAAAAAAAAAGAAAGAAAGAAAGAGCCAGGCATGGTGGTGCACACCTGTGGTCCCAGCTACTTGGGAGGCTGAGGCAGGAGGGTCACTTGAGCCCAGGTGGTCAAGGCTGCCTAACCATGACCATGCTACTGCACTCCAGCCTGCGTGACAGAGTGAAACCCTGTCTAAAAAATGAACAAACAAAAACATTTAGCATTTGACAAGTTGGCTACTTCTTTCTTTTCAAAATACTTTTTTTTTCCCTTGGATTCTGAAATGGCACTTTCTCCTAGATCACGTTTTACCTAGTTTTTCTTTCTCGGTCAGCTTTGATGCTTCCTCTTTTTCTCCCAGAGACAGTCCTGGGACCTCTTTGCTGACCTCACTGTGTCTCATGACTTTGAGTAGGTCTGTGTTCTGATGACTTCCACATATAGATCCCCAGCTCAGATTTGGCCCCAAAACTCTTGACTCCTGTATTCAAGTGCCCTCTTGACTTCTCTGCTGTCATGTGTAATAGCCAAACTAAACTCTAATCGCCATCCCCTCCAAAAAAACTTCTCCCTTGGTCTTCCTCATCTCAAGCGATAGCAACTCTCCTTTTTCAGTTTCTCATGTCAACAAAATCATCCTTGATTTTTCTCTTTCTCTCATCCCACATCCAATCCATCACCAAATCCTATCAACTCTAAGCTCAAAATAGATTTAAGAATCTGACCACTTCTCATTACCTCTGCCTCTGTAACCCTGTGCAAGCTCCTGCCTGCATTTCTGCAGTGGTCTTCTAACCCACCCCACCTCCAAAACTATTTTCAATACAAGAGGCAAAGGGATTCACCTAAAACATAAGCTAGCTCACATCTCTCCTGTGCTCAAAAGTCTACAATGATTCTCCCTGTCAGTCACAGAGTAAAGTTACAGTTTACAATGTCACATTATCAGAAAGGCATTTCCTGACTACCTTACATAACACAGCAGCCCCATCAACTCTCCCAGGCCTTGCTTTATTTTTCTCCATAGTATATATTACCATCTGACCCACTGTGTACTTGCTTATTTAGTATTTTATATCCCCAATATGGACAGAATTATGACCTGCCCCCAGCTTCATATCTGGACATATTAACCCCCATGTGATGGTATTTGGAGATGGGGCCTTTGGGAGATAATTAGGTTCAGATGAGGTCATGAGAGTAGAGCCCCCATGAAGAGATTAGTGCTCTTATAAGAAGAGGCATCAGTGAACTTTCTCTCCCTCACTCTCTCCACCCCCCACTTCCCTCCCTATCCCCACACATTAAGAAGGTAGTCACCTGCAAGCCAAAAAGAGAAACTTCACCAGGAAAGGAATCAGCCCACACCCTGATCTTGGACTTCCAAGCCTCCAGAACTGTGAAAAAATAAATTTCTGTTAAGTCACCCAGCCTGTGGTATTTTGTTATGGCAGTTCAACTGCCTTGTATCAGATTTGGACAATCCCACTCTTTACAACAAGGTTATAAGGTACATAAAGGACAAGATTTTCTTTTTGTTCACTGCTTATTTCCAGCCCCTAGTTGCTACTCAAAATATAGTATATCTCCACAATGAATAAATGAGTGAATGAATGAGTTGCCCAATGTCATGGCTAAAATATGGCATGGCCTGAGCTAGTTCAGATGCTAGCTGACAACTACACAGTGAAGTAGGGATAAGTCTTAACCTGAACCTTGTTTAAGTTAACAACTGTGTGAATCTGATTTGTAAATGGCAATATAAGCAAATCCTTTTCAATATTCTAGTACACTCAGAAAATGCAAATACAAATTCTGCCTCTCCAGGATTCTCCTATTTCAAAAGAATGACCATTCACTTGAGAAAACCTTATAGCACATCTGTCTTGATATAATCTTCACCTGGTAAACAGTATTTGGGAATTCAGAGAGCACAGTATTAAATTCCACTCCCCATCCAAACCACAGAAGTGTGTTTATTTCTTGAAGGCTATTGCAGAACTAACTCCCCAGTATAAGGGCCAACCAACACTCTTGAAGTCTTGACTTTAAAACCAAGGCAGTGCTTTCTTAATTCCCCAAGAAGGAGTGCATGTTGGTAAAGAAACATAACTCACAATGTGAATTCACTTCTGATAGTAATTTATCTGGTTCCACTAAACAGAAAGCTCAAAATGATTCAGACATGTTTCCTTAAGACGGCTGAAATAAGATTCTTTTTAAGAGTAGAAAGTAGTAACTATCCCTGAAAATCAAGGCCAAATGGGCCAGAAATGAGAAGCACTTTGTAAATTCTGAGTTTTGGCCCACTGGATCCAATTACTCTAACAGGGACAACCTTGGTGTCTTTATTTGGATGCTTGAGACAGTTTGTTTACTGCAAGGTAAGTGATTGATGTGCGCTCTCGGTGTAATTGAGGAGAAACCTCTCGGATCACAAATTCATCCAGTAATTACTTTAGGATTCCTCTGAGAAAGTGTCTACATAATTTCCTTTGTATGGGTTTTCCAAAAGGACGTATGTCTCCTATCCAGTGTTCTCTAAACCACAAATGTACTCCATTGATTTTTCTCAGGCTACAGTGTGTTGATTTTCAGCCCATAGTGTGTAAGGTGAAAGGGAACAATAACTGAATACAGAAAATATTGATCTGCAACCACTGATTCAAGGCCCCAGGGTGTCAAAAGATTAGTTACTTTCAAGAGAAGTCCTGAAGGTGACTTTCAACTACTTTTTATTGACTAACACAGACCAGATAAACCCTTCTATTCAAAGCCATAGGCTCTTCTCCAGGACCCATAATGAAAAACCATTTTACTCCCTTGCTTGAGATCCAGGTAAGACAACATAATTTCTAAGTACATATAAATGATGTACTATTACCAAATGATTCATGGTATTGTAATTTAACTATAATAACAACTAGTACATTTAGTGTTTACTATGTCCCAGGAATTGTTCCAAGTGATTGACTTATATTAATCATGTAATCATCACAACACCCCTCTGAGGTAGGTACCAATATAATCCCCATCTTACAGAAGAGCAAGCTGAGGCACAGAAAGAATAAGTCACTTGTCCAAAAGTCAAACTGCTAGTAAGTGGCAGGGCCAGGCTGTGAACTCAAATAGCTTGGCTCTAGAAATTATACTCTTAACTACTGCATGATAAGAGCAGTCAAATGTTAAGGAAAACCTGAGAAACTTCATTGAACAAAGTTGCAAATGAAAATTATTGAAATATTGGCCATTATTCTGCATCTGCAGAAGGTAAAGAAGGAAAAGCAACATTTTGAATTCTAAATACTTTTCTGTGTTTTTTTGTTGAAAAAACAATTTAGAAAAAAACAAAATTACTGTATCATCCCATAGCTGACTAAAATACTCAGGCAAGGCTTCCTATCATCATTTATACATTTTTAATCCTCTAGACTATAATCAATGCACATCAAAACCACAATGAGACACCACTTCACACCCATCAGAATGGTCATCATCAAAAAAACAGAAAGTGCCTATTATGGTGATGGACCTATAGTCCCAGCTACTCAGGGGGCTGAGGTGGGAGGATTCCTTGAGTTCAGAAGCCACAGTTCAGCCTGAGCAGCATAGCAAAACCAGACCTCTAAAAAAAATATTTACAAAAAATTAACGAAATAGAAAGTAACAAGTGTTGGTAAAGATGTAGAAAAAACTGGAACACTTGTGCATTGTTGGTGGTAACATAAAATTGTGCAGCAGCTATGGAGAGCATTATGGAGATTCCTCAAAAAATTAAATATACAATTAACACATGATCCAGCAATTCCGCTTCTGGGTATATAACCAAAATAATTGAAAGCAGAGATTTTAACAGATATTTGTGCATCTGTGTTCATAGCAGCCAAAAGTTGGAAACAGCCCAATGTCCATCAACAAATTGATTTATAAACACAATGTCATATATACATATAATAGAAATTTTATTCAGCTTAAAAAGGAAGAACATTCTGACACATGCTACAATACAGATGAATCTTGAAGGCATTTGAAATAAAGCATCACAAAAGAACAAATACTATATGATTTCACTTAAGTGAGCTTGTTAGAGTGCTCAAATTCACAGAGCTAGAAAGTAGAATAGCAGTTTCCAGGGGCTGGGAATAGTAGGAATAAGAAGTTATTGTTTAATGGGTACAGAGTTTCCACTTGAGAAGATGAAAAAAGTTCTGGAGTTGGATGGTACCAATGGTTGCACAACAATGTGAATGTACTTAATGCCACTGAAATGTACATTTAATGTTTAAAATGGTAAGTTTTATGTTATGTATACTTTATAATAAAAATACTATATTCATGTGTATCTGTGTGCATATATGTGTGTACAGATAACTCTTCTCTTTTTATAGTAATCAAAGCTGTAAACACTGTTCTGTATCTTTTTTTTTCTTATAACAACATACCTTAGGAATAATTCTATATTCGTACATTCTTTCAAATAGCTTCCTGATATTCCATGATAAGGTATACCATAGTTTAAACCACCTGAGAACAATGATTATTTAATTCTCCACATTCTGATTACAATAAACAATACTGGAACAGCAACAACAAAAATCTGAGAATCAAAAGCACATAATAGTTCTTGCATTAGGATAGATGAGGTAATGTGATGCTAAAAAGCAACCCAAAACCTTCTATTAAATAGGAAAAAAAACTCTCAAATTCTCTTAATACAAGAGAATTTTCTTACTCATGCTACATGTCCTGCAGGAGTCAGCAAGGACCTCTGCTCCACACAGTTCCACCATCTTCCAACTGTATCATCAAGATGTAGCTTCCTTCCCTGACCATTGGGCTTTCCACTGTCTTGGTCCAGAAGTAGATCCATCTCATTATCCAAGACTAGTATTTGCTCTTTGATGAGTATTATAACTACCTCTTCCACAGTTCAATCACACAAACAGAAAAAAAAATTCTCACTATAGGTAAGTCAAAGTTTTACAAATTATTTTTGGAATTCTTTTTTTAACACTCCAGTGGTAATTTTTACTCAAAAAGTATTTATAACATTCTTACTACATACTAAGTGCTGTCACATGGGAAGGAGTCAGTAAATATGTGCTAAGTAAAAAGCAAATGATCCCTACTTATCTAGTAATTGCTGCTCTTTCTCCCAGAGCAATCAAACCACTAGAAATAAGAAGAGTAAATAAGAAATTACTTCGAATTAAATACCTAGAAATTAACTTAACCAAAAAAGTGAAAGGTCTCTATAAGAAAAACTATAAAACCCTGGTGAAAGAAATTGAAGAAGACACACAAAAAATGGAAAGATATTCCATGTTCATGGATTGGAAGAATCAACATTGTTAAAATGTTCATACTATCCAAAGTAATCTACAGATTCAATGCAATCCCTATAAAAATACCAATGACATTCTTCATAGAAATTGAAAAACAATCCTAAAATTTATATGGAACCACAAAGGACCCAGAATAGCCAAAGCTATCCTGAGCAAAAAGAACAAAACTGGAGGAATAACATCACCTGACTTCAAATTATACTGCAGAGCCATAGTAACTAAAGCAGCATGGTACTGGCATAAAATCAAACATATAAACCAATAGAACAGAACAGAGAACCCAGAAACAAATCCATACATCTATAGTGAACTCATTTTCAACAATGTTGCCAAGAACATATACTGGGGAAAGGATAGTCTCTTCAGTAAGTGGTGCTGGGAAAACTGGATATCTATATGCAGAAGAATAAAATTAGACCCCTATCTCTCTCACCATATACAAAAATTAAATCAAAATGGATTAAAGACTTAAATCTAAATCTTCAAACTGTAAAAGTACTAAAAGAAAACATTGAGGAAACTCTCCAGGACGTTGCACTGGGCAAAGATTTCTTGAATAATACACCACAAGCATAGGCAACCAAAGCAAAAATGGACAAATGGGAGCACATCAAGTTAAAAAATCTTCTCAGCAAAGGATACAATCAACAAAGTGAGCAGACAATCCACAGAATGGGAGAATATATTCCCATCTGACAAGGGAGTGATAACCAGAATATATAAGGAACTAAAACAACTGTATAGAAAAAAAAAACTATTAATCCAAATAAAAATGGGCAAAAGATCTGTATAGCCATTTCTCAAAAGAAGACATACAAATGGCAAACAAATACATGAAAATATGTTCAACATTATTGATCATCAGAGAAATGCAAATCAAAACTACAATAAGATATCACCTCATCCCAGTTAAAATGGCTTATGCCCAAAAGACAAGAAATAGCAAATGCTCGTGAGGATGTGGAGAAAAGGGAACCCTCATACACTGTTGATAGAAATGTAAATTAGTACAACTACTATAAAAAACAATTTGGAGGTTTCTCAAATCACTT